AATTTTGTGGTTCTTAAAATTCTTTGACACGCTTACTTGAACATAACATTGATAGCTATGCAATATTTTTCATAGAGATAAGAGCAATTGAGAAATGTTAATGACTTTATATGAACTGCAAAAACTGAGGTTGAGTTTCCATTGAGTGTGCTACACAATGTGTAAATATGTACATTTGTAAGTGTGTAGGTATGTCATACATTTGTTTGGCTGTTATGATGAAGGATGTCCTTCAGTTAGCAATAGAAAAGCTTAAGGTTAACCTCCTCTAACTTAAATAATTATTTTATTGTAAGAATTTTTTTTTTCGTAATTCTGGGTTTTAAAATTATTCATATTTATCCTCGATCGATTTCCAGTGTTTTTTAAGCCCTACATGTTACCAGTATAGGTTAAAACATTTACTACATAAAATTCTTTGTTATTATTGGATGTTGACCCCTTAATGAACTAACTATATACCTACATATAAATAATCTTTAGAAACAGAAATCATTTCATTATTACTTACAGTATTATTTGTTCAGTTAACAGCCAATTTCACGGAAGCAATTTAAGTGAAAATTTCTTTTAATTTTTTGAATTTGATATGGAAATTGACTGTAAATTAGAAATTATTTTCCATTTAAATTTCTGGTGAAACCGGCTATAACAACCACATATTCTATTTTTCTTACGCTAGACTTTCATTGCATCCTTAACGATTGAGTATTTATAATTTTATACGACGCTTTATTTTTAATAGCTTCAGATACTTGAATGAGCTTTTTGGTGATTTTCGGAATTTTTTCAAACTACAGATCATTGAACTTTATGCCACTATTTAGTAATGGAACAAATTAAAACAGATTCAAAGTTTAGTTTCAAGGTTTGCTTTGCATTTTTTGGGAAATTTTGTGAGATTCTACCTGTTTTGCTTTCCGGCATTTTCGTAAGATCTTTGGCGCCTTTTTCTTGAGATTTTTTCCAGAAATTCAGGAGTGTTACGCACGTTTTCGGGATCTTTTGGAATTTTAATGAACTTTTCGGTTTTTTTTTTAGAAAAAACTGTATATGGCTGCAAGTAATTTTTAAGCAAGAAAAAAATCGAACCCTTATTTTGTCCATGATCCCCTTTTAAGTTTCATAGAATTTGGTTCGCGTTGATCGAAACCAAACCAAATTAGTACGGAAATTGTCGAAAACGGGTCACATGGTTAAAAGCTATGCGGTAATATACTACAGGGGTAGGTACTCGAAGAGTTACCAATTAAAAATGCTATAATTTTGTCTATATTGTTTTTTTTTTTTTAACTTAATTCAAAAACATCACTTCATCAAGAACTATGTAATCAAGGTTTAAGAAAAATGGAATACTGTTCGAAGTGACCATCTTTAGCGCGGATAATAGCACCAAGTCTCTCCGGGAATGCTTCTCGGAATGCAAGAATGTGGCGTGATGGTATGGTTATTCTTCCATACAAAGTTACTATGTTCGACAATTTTGTCCATACGAGTATATGGAAGGCAATAGTAATAAAGTAGGTAAACAAAAAATATCAAAAATCAGCGCGAACTCATAGCCTCTTAAAACTTCTAGTTTATTATATTGGGATTGAATGGGCTGGAAAACTGCGTCCTTCAAATTTTTCTAAAGATTATGAATAAAAAGGTTGCTGTTGTTGTGAAAATTTGTTGAATTTTTCTACAAAGTTTAAAATGTGCATTTATTTGGTGTTTAAGTGCCGGTTTCACTAGCAATATAAATGAAAAATTATTATTTTTCCCTTCTGTTGGGTTTCATATAAAATTCAAATAAAAAAATAATAACCTTAAATTGCTTCCATGAAACTGGCTATAAGTATGTATTATACAACTAAGTAGACTTTAATAAAAAATTAATAAATATTAAACAAACAAAATAAAAGCAGTCAAAATTTGTAAAAATGTCGTGGTCCCATTTTTTTACATGACTGCATGTTTTTGCATTTTTATAACGTGTTTCCTCTGATAATTCGCTGTTAGACTATATTGTCTTGTGTCAACGACTGAAGAATTTACGCCACTTCTGTGCATTAAAAAATTTAGGTAGCAAAAAAATTTTTTTTTGGTACAATTGTGATGTTGAGTACCGAATGCCATGAAGCGAACTGTATGAACTTAATGGCGACATCGTATAAATGGATGCGAATGTAAATTCTTTCGGGTGGATTGGGCTCTGGGATTTTTGAGGCAGTCAACCAGTTTTGGTAGCTGTAATAGAAGCTACATTTTTTAGATATCCGATTTACTGCCGATCATAATTTTTTTTTTTTTTCGTTACAAATACCAAACTTCAAATGTTTCCGCTCCCGGAGACATTTTGTAATTCTGTTTTTCGCATTGTGTATCTTCTTCTATGTATATAATTTAAACTTGATACTCACGAGTTGATTTAATTGGCTTCCCGGCATAATTAGTACATAATAGCAAAAATGATTAGTTTTGAGTTAATGGGCTTTCGAAAAACGTGTGCTATATTGGCTTTTGATTCGTCTTACATACAGTGACGAACAAAAGTATTGGCACAGTGAATTTTTCGCAATATATGCAAAGTTTTTTATTCTAATTTATTTTCGATAATTTTTTTATAAAAATATAGTTCATTTTACACCAAAAAACATAAAAATAAAATCTCTAAACTTTGTGCAAAACTCAGGAAAATTCATTAAATTTGCACACTAATT